CGAGGTATGCAGCAAAGCATTTGTGAAGCCACAACACGCACAACCTTGAGGCGGATGGGCTACAACAGCACTGCAGCCGAGTGTCGAGTTCCATACGTAGTGAATAAATGTAGGTTTTGTTGCTCCAATTCGATGGTCCAAATTCACATGCAAAAATAATGTATAAATGTTAATTAAATTAATATATATTCACCTGGGGGAGAATCTGTAAGATAAGTGAGCTGGAATCTCTCATGGTTTTTGTTTTAAACTTCCCTAGGTAACTGAGGTCCATCCATCTTCTGTAGCTGCTTGTCCTATTAAGTGTCTGGAGCCTATGGGCGCAAGGCAGGGATCAACCCAGGATGGGGCACCAACCCATCGCAGGGCAAACTCACACACCATTCACTCACACTCATTCACTCACATACCATTCACTCAATTTGACAACCCCAATTAGTCTCAGCATGTTTTTGGACTGTGGGGGGAAACCAGAGGACCTGGAGGAAACCCCACAATGACACGGGGAGAACATGCAAACTCCACATACATGGAGCCATGGCAGAGACTCGAAGCCAGGTCCCAGAGGTGGGAGGTAACGGTGTTAAACACTGTGCCACCCCATAATATGATTCTATGACTGTAGTATGGTTGTATAAGAGATGATGTAGCCTGTGTCAGCTAATCAGCAACTGACCGGCCCTGCAGATGCTTCCATAAACGAAACAGCAGACATTAATACTTTTGTGGTGTTTTATTCCAAGTAAAAACAAATCCTGCTCAAGGTATAATTTGTTATTAAAGCTATAAAACTCTGTAAAAACCTGCCCCCTCCAGCCCCTCCACAAGCACCTATTACTTTTAAAGGCCAGCAGGTGGCAGTGTTGTTACAGAACAAATGATCACATGCTGATGCTTCAAACCTGTGGAGGAAACAGCCTGAATTTTTTCGGCATACGACTGTTAGCTGCTTCATAAACGGTTAAAGTGGTGGCTCTCAAACTTGATGGACCTCCTCAAAAAATATCAGGCTGTCTGTCTATCAACATTTTGGGCGATGTCACTAAAAGAAATACTTCCATCTACCACTAGAGGGGGCTCACATACCATAGTTTAAGAACCATTGCGTTAAAGATTAAAAATCTTTTCCATAAATGTAACTTTAGGCCTTCAAAGGTAAGAAAGACTATATTAATAATAAAGAGCATAAATAGGGCTGAGATAGATTGAATGAGCTCCCCGTGTTTTATCCTGTGGAGGGGCAACATTATTTTGGCCTTATTCTACTGCCCAGAGTCTAAATAAAGCATGAAAAAGCAGCGATTGTCTCTCCAAGTGCAAATTAAACAGAAGCATTCATAGTTAGCCTGTTAGTGCATTTGTTTGTGGTGTGACGTCGTGTCAGCAGGTGTCTCTCAGGTCAGACATTCAGAACGCACTGAGGAGGGGTCAGCAGGGGGAGCTGTGGGGTCAGACATTCAGGACGCAGTCTGAGGAGGGGTCAGCAGGGGGAGCTGTGGGGTCAGACATTCAGGACGCAGNAACTCTAATAACGGTCTTGGTGCCTTTTTGCAATAGATGCATATGGGTCTGTGGTTGAATGTGTCATAGTTTGGATGCCTTGACTATTTTTAATAATGTTCCATCGGTCAGGAACTACGGTTCTGAACAGAGATGATGTATTATGAGCAGAGTTTGTGTGAAGGTTGCTAAACGCCCTCTAGTGTCCTCTTAGTGCTGTTAACGATCATATCTTTGACCTTTTTCACAGGGATTAGAAGAAATCATTCTTTGGCCAGTCCGAGTCAAGTCTTGAGTCAAAACATTGCAGTCTGAGTCAAGTCTCGAGTCATTTACCCTCAAGTCCAAGGTGAGTCCAATATATTTGAGGTAAGTGACACATGTTTCTATTCAAGGCGCCCTAGTAGAATGTAACCAGGTTTGAAGCTATTATGCATATTCATTTATCATTTATGTGAAATCTGACATTAATTCGCCTCGGGGGACTGTGTTTAAAACCCAGCAGACTTATTGGTGATGTTTATTTTATATATGTGGCACATTTCTTTTATTTTCCTGGAGTTCCTATAATGTGTTTATGTAGGTTTGAAGCTGACCCACTCCTTTAGATTTCTGTTATGCATAGACATTTCACCTGTGTGGAATCTGGCATACATTCATCTTAGGGGGAATATATTTAACATGCAGCAAACTTACTGCTGACACTTATCTGATATATCTGGCACAAATTTTTATTGAAGTGGAGTTTTATGTACATCTGAAGCTGACACGCTCCTTTACTTATTTTTATGCAAGTACCTATGTCGAAATTTATAGGCTAATTTTGCCTTGGGACTGTATGTTTAAACTGTAACAATCTTTTTGCTGATGCTTATTTGAAGTATCTGATCTTAATAATGCACAGATGATGTAATTAACGAGGGTTGAAGATGGGACAACCAATCACAGGGTACGCTCACACACGCAAACCAGAGTACCTGGGCGAAACCTCACAATGACACGGGGAGAACATGTAAACTACACACACATGGAGCCGTGACAGAGACTCGAACCCAGGTCCCACAGGTGTGAGGTAATGGTGTTAAACACAGTGCCACCCCATAATATGATTGTATGACTGTAATATGGTTGTATAATATCACTGTCACTGTTGAATCCTGAACTTGTGGGTCACTGTGCCCCCCCCCCACAGGAAGTCAGACAGTCCCTGAGCCTGATACTGTACAGTAAGTAGGTGGCTACAAACCTTAAGGTCCAGCAGAGATGATGTAGCCTGTCAGGTAAACGGCAACTGACCGGCCCTGCAGATGCTTCCATAAACGAGACAGCAGACATTAATACTTTTGTGGTATTTTATTCCAAGTTAAAACAAATCTTGCTTAAGGTATAATTTGTAATTAAAGCTTTTAAAGGCCAGCAGGTGGCAGTGTTGTTACAGAACAAATGATCACATGCTGATGCTTCAAACCTGTGGAGGGAAACAGCCGTTGTAACTTTAAGGCCTGAATTTTTCCGGCATACGACTGTTAGCTGCTTCATAAACGGTTAAAGTGGTGGCTCTCATACTTGATGTACCTCCTCAAAAAATATCAGGCTCTCTGTCTATCAACATTTTGGGCCATGTCACTAAAATAAATACTTCCATCTACCACTAGAGGGGGCTCACATACCATAGTAGTATAAGAACCATTGAGTTAAAGATTGAAAATCTTTGCCGTAAATGTAACTTTAGTCCTTCAAAGGTAAGAAAGACGATATTAATAATAAAGAGTCTGAGGAGGGGTCTGCAGGGGGATCTGGGGGGACGACAGCGGCTCCTGTCTCCTGGACGTCAGCATCCACGCGAAGCGTTTTCTCCGCCGTGTTCTCGGCCTCCTCCATCATCTTCTCCATCTCGGTCTCCNGACGTCAGCATCCACGCGAAGCGTTTTCTCCGCCGTGTTCTCGGCCTCCTCCATCATCTTCTCCATCTCGGTCTCCATCACCTCGCTGGGCTTCCTGAGCCTGATCACGTCGGCATTTACACGGGGTGGGTGGGCTGGGCAGACTGAGCTAGGCTGGTCGCGGAGCTTCCGGACCTGGCAGGCCAGCGTGATGGTGGACACCAGCAGCGCCGTACAGATCAACAGCACGATTCCCAGAGCCAGCAGCAGCCAGCCAGTGTGTGACCTACCCCCAGGGCTCAGGTTGGGGGTGGGGCTATGCTTAGGGGGAGTGGCCTCGAGGCTGGTGGTGAGAAGGCTGATGACACTGGTGGTAACTGGTGATTCGATTTCGCCGCTGTTGTCGCCGCTGTTGTTGCCGCTGTAGTCTTCATCATCCTCGGGGGGGTCTCTGGCATGTGACACATGTATCACCAGCCCAGCCACGAGGAGAGCATGTAAGATCCAGGAAGCCATGCCTGTGAGGGGCGGAGCACCAAATAGTGTAAAGTCACCAGGACCCAGCACATAATTTAGGCCACTTTCAATTTCACTGGCACTATCCTTCCCCCATCCAACCGCCCCCCCCATTTGGGGAAGTCTCCCGTTATTGCTCCCAATGACTTTCGGAGGATCATTAAGAATGCAGTGATCAACAATCACAAATTAATTAATGCTACAAATATTAAAATCCACAGAAATACAACCTTATCCATAAAAGCCAGAATTATATCCATGTTTTTTTAACTAACATGATTCCTCGGTGAAGCAAACAATACCTACATTTATTCGGCTTATCTTCCGTACGCCGGGGTCAGATCTGGGGGGGTGTGTGAGTGTGTGTATTTCCATGTGTGTGTTCAGGCGGGATGCAGATGTGTGGTGCTGTGAGGTGTGTGTCTGTGTAAATGAGTGTTCTGTAGTTATACATCAGTAATATACATCTGTTTCAGCGAATATGCCCCCCAGTCTTGAATTTAAATTACTCTCCCTCCCCGTTGAGATCCTCACCCCCAGTTAGAGAGACAGCTGACTGTAGAAACAAACCCACTCTCGATCCTCCCCCCTACGGGGGACTTTACTCATCTTTACTCATGTAACAAACAAAAAAAAAGGTTGAAACTCACATTTGATTTAGCAGAGTGACCCCCCCCCGGTATTACCGACAACCCAGTGCCCCATAAGCCAAAGCACACTTTACCTGCCACGATTTGTCGGCCGTGTACCAAGCGGGTTTCTGTNCTGAGGAGGGGTCAGCAGGGGGAGCTGTGGGGTCAGACATTCAGGACACAGCCTGAGGAGGGGTCAGCAGGGGGAGCTGTGGGGACGGCAGCGGCTTCTGTCTCCCGGACGTCAGCATCCACGCGAAGTGTTTTCTCCGCCGTGTTCTCGCCCTCCTCCATCATCTTCTCCATCTTGGTGGCCTTCCCGGCCCTGATCATGTCGGCATTTACACGGGGAGGGTGGGCTGGGCAGACTGAGCTGAGCTGGTCATGGAGCTTCCAGACCTGGCAGGCCAGCATGATGGTGGACACCAGCAGCGCCATACAGAGCAGCAGCACGATTCCCAGAGCCAGCAGCAGCCAGCCAGTGTGTGACCTACCCCCAGGGCTCAGGTTGGGGGTGGGATTATGCTTAGGGGGAGTGGCCTCGAGGCTGGTGGTGAGAAGGCTGATGACACTGGTGGTATCTGGTGATTCGATTTCGTTGCTGTTGTCGCCGCTGTTGTCTCCATTGTAGTCTTCATCATCCTCGGGGGGGTCCCAGGCATGTGACACATGTATCACCAGCCCAGCCACGAGGAGAGCATGTAAGATCCAGGAAGCCATGCCTGTGAGGGGCGGAGCACCAAATAGTGTAAAATCACCAGGATCCGGCGCATAATTTACTTTCGATTTCACTGGTAATGTCCTTCCCCCATCCAACCGCCCCCCCCTCCCAATCATATTCATGGGGGGGGGGGGGGGGGGTGACTTTCGGAGGATCATTAAGAATGCAGTGACGAACAATTACAAATTAATTAATGCTACAAATAATAAAATGCAAATACAACCTTATCCATAAAAGCCAGAATTATATCCATGTTTTTTTTAACTAACATGATTCCTCGGTGAAGCAAACAATACCTACATTTATTCGGCTTATCTTCCGTACGCCGGGGTCAGATCCGGGGGGGTGTGTGAGTGTGTGTATTTCCATGTGTGTGTTCAGGCAGGATGCAGATGTGTGGTGCTGTGAGGTGTGTGTCTGTGTAAATGAGTGTTCTGTAGTTATACATCAGTAATATACATCTGTTTCAGCGAATATGCCCCCCAGTCTTGAATTTAAATTACTCTCCCTCCCCGTTGAGATCCTCACCCCCAGTTAGAGAGACAGCTGACTGTAGAAACAAACCCACTCTCGATCCTCCCCCCTACGGGGGACTTTACTCATCTTTACTCATGTAACAAACAAAAAAAAAGGTTGAAACTCACATTTGATTTAGCAGAGTGACCCCCCCCCGGTATTACCGACAACCCAGTGCCCCATAAGCCAAAGCACACTTTACCTGCCACGATTTGTCGGCCGTGTACCAAGCGGGTTTCTGTGTGTGTCGGGGAGGAATTTGCTCTGACTGGGCGAGTGTGTTGTGCTCAATCCAATGACACCCTTCCTGTCATCACCTCACTTCTGCTTTGCTTTCTTTTTTGGGGGATATTTCAGATGCCTCTGGACTCCGAGGGTTGTGTCACACATATGA